GTTGTTATTGAGAGAAAACTATATGAGCTAATAGATTAAATCTTGGGGTGTATTCCCAGTTCCACCAATGACTCAGAGTTACTCTTATACCTTCCTGAGCCTCATCTTTCTCCTCTCCAACATAAGGGGATTAGAATTTGTCTATTATTCCTTCCAAAACCAAAATTCTACTGTCTTCTTTGGACACGAGAGATACCCAAGGCTGCATCCAGTTTTCTATTTTTATTCACTCTACTTAGCTTAATTAGGGAACGTACATTTTACAAAGGAAAGATAATTCGATTCATTAGGTTTAAGGCATCCTCCATCTCAAATAACCCCAACCCCACCTCCAGGTACATCAAAAAATAATTCAAGTTCCTATGCTGAAATTCACGTTTTCCTCTTAACTTGATATCCATATATTCTATTAATTTGTCTTGTAAATTTAATTACCTGCTCAAACCAGGACGGAAGACCAATGCCCCAAACACTGATTTCCATGATATGAATTTAAAATAGATTTCAAAATATTTCGCTATCCTATTTGCCATAATTCTGTTGAATCCAATATCTTTCATTAAATTATCACGTGTTGGTCACTGTGTTATCCTTAGTGATTTACCAGCCCACCTCATCCTCCCCGAATCATTTACCGTGTAGCTACACAACCCTTTTCAGCATGCTTCAGGCTTGTGCTTCCTGGAGGGAACTTCACTTCAGTAATAAAACCATTTGTCTGGTATGAATGCTACCACTGGCTTCAGTGTCACCACCCATATAGCTATGCAGTCATTGCAAACATGAGCAGGTCTAATGCTTGTTGCATTGCATGTGAATTCATTTAACAAGCAATGATTTCCCTTCTATTTCTGAGAATGATTTAGTTCAATGTGAATAAAAGCAGTAAAATTTAGTTGAAGGAGAATAAGAGAATGTTTGATGCTGTGCAGCCTTGAATAATTTAGATGTGCAGGATGTTCTTAATTATAAGATTTATTGTGTTTCTACAGACACTCTATGACATGAATGGTGATGGGCTAATTGTTATACATGTTTCTCGTGTTGTGGGACTTTAGAGGGCATTTGTCATTTGCTTACAGGAAAAAAATTTAAGGAATGTTACCATCAAAGAAAAGAATTCATCAGAATAATGAGATTCACTGATGCCCATATCCAATCAGACATAATATTCGTGCTTAGAACTTTTCTATCTCTAATACCTAGATTACAGGTGACCTCAGAAGACAACCTCAGAAACTGTTTTAAGAATAAAATATTTCATCGGAATTGGGGGATCTTATTCTCAATCAGTATTTGCAGGTCAAAACCAGCGCTGGAAAAATGGTGGTAGCAGAGGTGATATGACAAGGAGAAATTTAACTCTACGATTTTGACTTCTTACCAAGACTAAAAATGGCAATTGCAAAAGATTGGCATCTTCTCTGTTCTTATAAATAATGGATGTTTTACCTCAAAATAACACTGAGTTAAAATTGAGTTGTGTCCAAAGAAGTGAAGTCAGCACAAATTATTAAAGATGGTGGCTTGCTGAGTTCTCACAATTTCAAGCACGTGTTGAAAGCTTCCCTCCTCCCCACCTGATTCTTCCCTAAGCACACAACCTAACTTTCGGGGACTCCAGCAGCCCGTGCCACTAAGATGCTGAGGTTCCAGCAGTCCATGCCACTAAGATGCTGAGTTTGCTGTTATCCGCCTCCCCACCAAGCACGTGGAGGGGCCACTCTGGCAGCCTCACTGATTATTTGTTTACTGTGCTCAAGTTGGGATTCTGGGAACTGGCAGCTCCAGGGGGAAAGAGCCAGGGTGTCTCAAGTGCATTAAATCTTCATATTAGCCCCTGACTTGGTAAACCTTTGTGTTGTCTTTGTTCCCTTTTTTTCAAGCATGACAAACAAGTGGTCTTTCTTTTTCACTTTAATGATTCTTTAAACAAAAAGGGGTAGTTTAGGGCTTTCTCCGAGGCTGATAGGTGTTTCTTTTTAATGAGGTTTTTATTATACTGTATTGGCTTCCCTGAAAAGAAATTACCAGCAGCAAACAGCTGATAATAGAACAAGGCTAGAAGAAACAATAACCAAGAGGGGGGAAAATTAGTGTGGCAGCAGATGCACACGTTGTAGCTGGGGGATTAAATGCTACTTCCATTCTCCCTTGGCCACCATTGTGCTAGTCATAAAGTGAATGTGGGCACTCCTGTGCCAGTTATGTGTGCGGGAAAGATATGGATATAGATACGGACCCAGCTAAACTACCTAAACTACCATCTGCAGGGAAGACGGGTGGCGAGCTCGGTCTAGACAAAGATGAGAGAAGCTCAGAGTGCGGGCTTTACAAGGGCTGGTCGGTTACCATGGAAACTAATTGGCGCTAATAAGTAAAGGGACATTTTAACTGTGGGAACAGAATAGGAGGGGCTATTTTTCAATATCACCGATATCTACAATTACTTTTTTTTTTTATTTTAGGCGTGTCCTTACTTAATTCCTAGGATGAAGCTATTCACTCTGTGCACAACCTCACCCTGCTCAACGTGACTTTAAAATGCCGGATATCATCTTTTTAAACGTGCTGTATATTAGGGTTAGATCTTTCAAGAATCAATTTCACTTTTTTTTCTTAAAAAATAAACTGTTTGCAGATGGTAAGGAGAAAGGAAGGGAAGTAATGGAAAATTCTTAACTTCTAAACTGACACTCTGCTGAGCACTAAAGCTAGTTCCAGGGAGAAAGGGAGCTGGGACCTTATCCTGCAGCACCAGCTTCAGGTTTTCCTTTGAGTTGATTTTTCCCAACAAAAGCATTTCAGAACAACGAAAAATGTGTCTGCGCGGACTCATTTTACCATAGATTTGTAAGGGAGCATTTACAGCCACTGCACAGAGCAAACACTAAGATCATAGCAAATGGCTGGTATCTATTACCTACTTGTATTTTTCATTTTAGAGCAAGTATTAAGTAGTGTAAATAGCTGAAGTTATCAGCAAAAGAAAAGTAGTGACTGAGGCTTAATGAAAAGATTTACAATTAAGAATAGAATAAAATGTTCACATTAAAAAACACTTTAAACAATAAGTGTAGGTCAGAGCCAGGCCCTTTTAGGAAATGTCATAGAAGGTGTGTTACAAGCACGGGGTTGATAAAACATATTGATTCTACATCTTTACAGTTTCTTAAGTTTTACTTTTGTAGCTCAATTTACAGTTTAAGAGAATGCAAACTACCTTAATAATGTCTCTGGGGTCTTCAAAATCTATGCAATTGAAGTAACCCAGATTTCCAGACCTGGGTCTGGTTGAATTAACCCCTCTCCCCCCAAAAAGGGGAAAAATTGCCTTACAATAATTGGCACTGTTAAAAATTTTATGATGCCCAAGGGGAGTTTTAGCCCTGTCGTGCCACTTGTCAATGTTTAGAATGTTTGTGTTGATTATGTATCTGGATTTAGCTGATTAGGAGTAGTGGTTTAGTGAATACTTTATATTGTGAAATAGACACCTCATAATCACTTCCGAGAAGAAACCAAACAAATAAATCAGGGTTCCACCCTCTAATTCCTTTTCTCTCCTTCTTCCCCACACCCCAGTTATAGGAAAAATCCACTGTATGAAAATTAAGTTCACTATTCCTGTACTTCAGAAAATTGCACCAGGAGTAATTTTTAAGTATCTTAATAAAATATTACACAAAGATTTTTGGTAAAAACAAGGCAGTTGAGTCAATGTTCCTAGATATTGAAATAATTCCCTTCATGAAGCTTGTACTCCAAGTGTTAGATTATCTATCTGTAGTCTACATTTTAATGCTTTACACAAGTTTAAAGTGTGTGGGGTTTTTTTTTTTTTCTTTTCTTTTTCAAGTGATCCCCTCCCAGTTAACAGAAACTCAAAAGGTACAATATTTAAAATGTTGGCTTCCCACAGACAATTCTAGGGTGTTGATAATATTTAAAATTCCTATTTTCTCTTTGAGATTATCAAATTCCTTAGATGTCTGATGGAATTTTTGAAACGGCGTGATTTATAGCAATTAAATTATTTACCAATATCTTCTTAAAGTACTGTAACAAGTATAGCCATTTTCGAGTTCAGTCTGCTATCAAAGTAATTACTTCTATAAAACAGTTCAGAGAACAACAACAAAAAAAATCACATAAGAAGGAGGTATAGAAATGACCAAAAATTGAAAACATTTCAAAGCAAAATTGTTAATGAGCTGTTTGAGCTATATGGGCATTATAAGTGCAATTAACTAGAAGCCAATAAAAATAATCAATGACAGAGCGCAGCCCTCTGGTACCAAGTGCTTTTACAAAGAAATGTCTGTGAAAGCAGCAAGTGATTTAAAAAGCCACCTTTCTCTATGGCAGCGCGTGCTATTTTACATACGTAGAAACGAAAATGATTTTCACTGACTGTTTCTGAAGTTCAGCCTGTGGCAAACAGTGAAGAGCTGTACATGGGGATAGAGAAGTTTCTGCTCTTGGCTGTGCCCCCTCCCGCCCAGGAATGTTGGAGGCAGCCACGATCTAATCAAAAGAAGGTAGGAGTTAAGATTTCAAAATGTAGATGTCACATTTCAGTGCAAACTACTCCTACATTAACACTTTATCAGCATGTCAAGACGAACCTTTTATCTCCTATGGAGGGGAAAAGTGTCGTGCTGAGAAGATTGCCCTCAATAGATTGGCAGTAAAAGATTTTTAGTGTTTCTGTGCATCCTACTGAGGGTCCCAATCGTCCTCGGGGAACACAAGGAGTTGTGAAAAGTAACGCACAACTGGCCACCAGAATAATTCATTCTCTCCACCTTCCCTTTAGCACCTCCCACTTCTCCTCTTTTTATAGCAATCCTTTCTCTCTGAAAATCTCAGGTTACTTGACTGGGAGTTCTCAGACCTCCAGTTTCAGTCCTGCCTTCAGCTTCCAATCGGTAAGAGACACCCAGCCCCAGCAATTGGATTGGGCAGCCTGTCTTGACACACCACTGTGCTGAGTGCTTGAGGACGTGTTTCAACAGATGGTTGGGGTTAGTGTGTGTCATCACATTCGAGTGGGGATTAAGAGAAGGAAGGCTGCCTTGCTGGAGCTGTGTGGTCTTCTCCAAGTGAGAGTTGCAGGCAATAGAACTCCTGTGCTTTTGCGAGAAGAGGAGGAATTCATTTTCAGCAGCCACAAGAAAAGCAGTTTTTTCAGGTAAAGTAAAAGACATTGAATGCTTCTCTTTCTCTTTTAACATAGTTTTGAATGGAATCTTAGCACAGCACACTTGTCAAAGCCAGTTGTTGCTGTCCTATCAATGCTGCTATTGTACAGCTGACAGATAACAGTGAACATAGCTTGATGCTTGGCTGTCTTTGTAGAACTAACACTCCTCCTGCCTTGTGTTTGAAGGTGTAGCTAAGAAAATGTCTTTAGGAGCCTTGTTTGTACCCTTTAATATCTCCGTTATATACTCAAAACGGGAGCTATAAATTGCTCATAAAGGATGGACAAGGCCAAGAAAGTATTTATTTTAGCTTTCAAAAGTAGAATTCACTTTCCAACTGCAGTATTTTACAACTGAATTTATAAAGATTCTTTTAAGAGTCTATTACGGAGTTGCTGGCAGAGGTGGAAATGCTTTTTTAACCAATTTGTGCCAGGTAGATTATGCCTGATTTATGATTCAGCAAAGTGTTTTTAAAAAGTTTTTTGGAGATTGACTCTAAAGTTTGGAAACTCCTTAAGAGAAGGGGCTATCCTCTAAGAAGCCAGTAGGTCAGCTCTAAAACAAAAATGCTTGGAGCTGGAAGAAAAGCAGAAAAGGAGGCAGGAGGAAAATGCTGTTTAACATAGCCCTCTTGCAGCTGCAGAGGGAGCAGATGGAGGTAATTCATTTGCAGATCTGTTTGTGAAAGTTTTACAAGTCATGAAAAACTAAAGTAGCATCTCTGTAATGGATCATTAAAGTCACTACATTTATAGGTTTTAAACAGACTATCTGAAGTGTTAATTAAATGCAAGTAAATAGATTTTCAGGCTTGGTTATATACAAACAAACAAAAAGGTTTTAATTATAAATTAGTCATTGGAAACTAATGGTCATCCGGTGCCTGAGCAACATAAACTGAGTTGTCATCATACGTGTGAAAAAGAACCATTAACCTCTCTGCCAAAAGCACCCACCAAGATTAAATTGAGCTGAATATAAGGAAGTTTATACACTATTTTTAATCTGTGGTATTACAAAAGGCCTTTCAAATTGATGCCCTATTTTTTAAGCTATAAAATTTATATCATATTATGCTTATATTAAATAATTTATAAAATTTTCATTTTTCAAATTTTTCAGCAAGATACATGAGTCAATGACTGTTTTTTGTTTTTTGTTTTTTTCTTTTTTCTTTTTTTATTTTGCTACCCTAGCAGACTTGGCCTCCTACACCCACATTCACGTACCTGCGGTGTGCAAGAGTTCTTGCTCCTACTGGATTTCACATTTGGCAGAGAAACTCAACACTGTTTTCACCCTTGCAGGTGAGAGATTCTATGAATAATACTGTAGATAAGCTGCTCTGAAATAGGAGCCGTTTAGTAGGTTAAATAACAGGATTTATGACTAGTGTGGCTTTAGTATGCAACTGCATAAAGATGCTTGTAAAATTATGTTTCAAGTTGTGTTAAATATATTTTTTGCAGCCAGACAGTTGTTTTTTTTTTAAATCTCTTTTTAAAAAGTTAAGATTAAAACAATATTTTAGTATAGTGTTTAGTTGTTACTCAGAATGTTCTGTGGGTATAATCTCAAAAACCTCCTTCAATGAGAAAATATCCTCATAAATAACCAAGCAGTTATTCCGACTAAGTATTATCTGATTCCCAATATTACATAACCAAAATAGGACTAAGTTCATAAGCTGAAGTCTTTTGGAATTCCAGTCATTCCATTTTGGCTTTACAATGGAACTACGGTTTAAAAAAAATAAAGACAGAGGACAAACTAGTATATCGTGTCTTATCAGGATTAGAACTACATGCGCAGCATACAGCAGGTATGGTGCTAACACCCAGTGCCATTTTTCACTATCACAGAAGTATTTCATGAGAAAGTAAAATTCCTCGTCACAGATCAGATTTTCCTGATAATGGCATTCTATCAAAGCAAGGTGCTGTTTAGCAACTGGAGCCCAGGAGGGCATGTATCTGATGATACAGACTGATCGCAGGCTGCCTGTACAGGATTCTGACAATATGGGAGAATTCCCTCCAAAATCAACTGTACCCAGAGTTAGTCAGGATGGAAACAAGAAACAAAGTATCAAGAAATAATAAAATCACACCTCGAAAAGGCAAAGTTGTGTTTTTGTCCCCCTAATGGGGTAATAGGGAGTTACTTAGAGAACTGAAAGGGCTTGCTGTAAAGACAGTGGCCACAGGACAATCCCAGTTTCTTGTCAAAATCTAACTCTACTCTTCCAGATGGTAAACATTCAGAGCGTATTTATGGTGATTTCTACATACCTCTGTTCGACACTTGGTTTCTTCCTGACAGTGCTTGTGCTGGTAACACACATGAAGCTCCCGTCAGCACTCTCACAGCTGGAAAAGCACTTGAGCACAGGGGATCTCCCTCCCAGGGAAGGGAAAAAGAACTGGGGTGGGGGTAGATCTCAATTTGCACTATTGATGCCTCCTTCTATCAAGGTAGAAGGTGACAAATCTTAGAGGCGAAAAGTGATCTGAAAATTCAATTCATGAAAATAACATGTCAATGAAAAATTAGATTTTTGTGGTGGATGGAATACAAAATGCATTAATGCAGGTATTGATGAACTCATGGTAGATTACGAGCAGGGACCTTCATCAAGGAACTAAAAGGGTTCTACTCTATTTCCTTCTAAGGAAGTTTATGTGGCTTCCGGCAGATTGTCTTAGCTATTTCCACTATAATAGCAGAGACAAGTGGCAAGAGGGACACTTTCCATGTCCTTTCCTAATTTTGAATCCATACAGCAATGAACAGCATTTCAAGTTCAGTTCTTTTCTGTTTGGGACTTAAAATTATTTTTTAAAAATCCATGAAGCAGAATTTCTGATACTGAGCTATATATAGTGTTGAGATTTCCCAACCATTGCTGTGTGGATGAGGCCAACCAGTGGGTCAGGTCAGAACATCTGGTTCTTTTTGCCCTGTGCAATATTTTTTCATGGAGTAAATTTAAGGGGATTAAAATTTTAAAAGCTGATTCTTAATAAATAACTTTTTATCATTATTATTGATTTAGGGGAAAAAGAGGCTCATGTGTGAAATTAAGTCTATGGTCATGTGGTATATTCACCTTTACTTTAGGTTATGTCCATGAAAAATAATTAGAAAGAACATGTTTTATGGGAAAAGTTTATCCTGAAATATGTTTCCTATTTAAAATATTTTCGATTCTATCTTAATCTGCTTGGGAGGTGGGGAATTAGATTGTTAGCTTCTTTCCCTCTCTAATATTCCCCTCTCCCGCATAGCCAGTCTGTCATCAAATTCTGTGAGTCCTTCCTTTAAAATGTTTCCATATCCGGCCAACAGCTACCATCCCAGTGCAATGATCAGCTCACATGTGGGTCATTGCAACAGCCTCCCAATAGGTCCACTAGCCTACATTTCTCTTCTGTTCACCACTTGCAAATGGAACTTTCTAAAACACCACTTCCAGCACATTTCTGGTCTGAGAAATACTACATGGACCCTCATCACCCACAGGATGAAGTTCAGACTTCTCAGTGTGATATGCTGGCCCTCTGCTTTTTGGCCCCAACTTTCCAACCTTACCTCCCCACCAAATCCCTATAACATCAAAAGTCTACCCTACCCTCCAGTCAAAGTGGCCAGCTACATGTGGCCCCTTCCCAGTCTCTTCTCTTAGCCCTAACCTCTCTAGTTTTCTGCTTTGTTGTCTGTAAAATGAGAGCTCATCACCATGTGCATGCTTCCTTCTGGTTCAATGTTCATAAGCCTGTATGTAGAATGTCCCACCTAGTTCATCTTCACACTTCTATATCTTCAGCCTTGAGTTTCAGCTTAAGTTCTACCTCTCTGAGAAGCCCCCCTGACCACTATCTCTTCCAGCCATGTATTTCTTCCCTCATGCTGACCACTGGTTATCTATAGATTGCACTTAGCACAATTGCTTTATTTTTTTTTTCCCTGCTTTATAATTTGCTTTTTTATCCCTGACTCCTTGGGTAGGATGACAGGGACTGGCACAGTCCACTTTTGTGCCCCACCAAAGACACTAATAAATGTGTGTTGACTAACTCACCAGAATACTCAAATATCCAAGGCACTTTCCTCTCTCTAGTTACCCAACTTTAGAGCCATTAATCAGCACTAATATTTTCCTCCCCACCCATAAAGAAAGAAAAAAATAATGAAACTCTATTGTTTTTATTTGGGGGAACCTTGGGGAAAATGCCACTTAGGTAGAATGTGAAAGTATTGCCCAAAATTAAGCTCGAGTATTAAATTAAAAAAGTAGAAATTACATCTACTAACTGCCCCTCTCTCATATAAAGTTCCAAATTTGACTTTGGAGCAGGAGAGTACCGGCTCTGGATTCAAACAGACCTGCATTCTAATCCAGGGACCACCTGTCACTAGGTATGTGGCCTTGCACAGGTGACTTGACCATTCCAAGTTTCAGCTACCTCTTCTATAAAATGGAGATAGGAATATTTAGTTTGGGAATGTTGTAAAGAAAACACATAAAGCACCTAGCTCAGTGCATGACCAATATTGTATGTCCAATAAACAAGAGAGACAAAAGGTTGGCATATGCATATACAGATATAGATCTAGAATGCAGGAATGTGTTCATCTTAGTTATGTCAATCATTACTTCTATCTATTTACCATGTGTCTTCCTTTAGCATTTCCTTCTGCCACCAAAGGCAGGGGCATTGGGGGAGGAGGGAAGGAAGGGGAGAGAAAAAGAGAAAGGTGTTTTGAGCATTTAGATTTGGAGCAACTGAGTTAATGGATCTGCAAGGACAACAGTGACAGCTGAATACATGTTACAGGGAGGAGTAGAGTCCTGGGTCCTGCATTAAGGATAATAAAGAGCAGGCACTGGACCACTGTGCTGTGGGGAAACAATGACCCCATCAGTGAGGGATCTCCCAGCAGGGAGGTGGATTCACCAAGGGTCATGAGCTCCTCTTCGTTCCTCCTGGCACATTATTTAGAAAGAAATTATAACTTAGCAAAACTTTGTGGAGAGTCAGGTCAAGTTTCCTGAAGTAATTGGTAAAGCAAGATACCATTTAGGCAAAACAAGGTCCTTGGATCTTTGCCATCCTTCCCTTCCCAACCAAATATAACAGAAAAAGCTGAAAGCAATCACCTTGAGCTCTTGCCTGTTCCTAAACTCTGCACCCACCATCAAACACTGAACCTTCTACTTGTGGCTTTTCCACAGAAGGGCAGCTGACCAAGAAATTCTCAAAGAAGGCACTGAATGCCACTTAGCAAATAAGTGTCCCTAGATACTGGTCATCAATTCCTGTTTTCAGGATATTGGGATAGATCAAAAGATATTCTTTTCAACCCTGATCATCTGGTCTGCACCTGCCCTAGGCCAGGGAGAGGGAAAAAACTAGAACTGGCTAGGATGAGGGGTAAGGCAGTATTTCTGGAAATCTCTCCCCCTTTCCAGCAAACATGTGTATAGAACTTTGAAAGAGAAGCTATGTTGCTAGACCTCATCTTCAGCTGTGACAGCTAAGCTAGTCCTCTTTACCCTCAAAATATACAGTTCATATACTCCCGCACAATACTGTATTAAACTTGTTTTAATTTTTAAAAATGTATCTTTTCGGGCCGGCCCGGTGGCTCACTCAGTAGAGTGCGGCGCTCCTGCCGAGGGTTTGGATCCCATATAGAGACCGGTCCACTCACTGGTTGAGCGCGGTGCGGGCGCGACACTGAGGGTTGTGATCCCGTTGCCGGTCACGAAAAAAGACAAAAAGGAAAAAAAAATGTATCTTTTCACATTACCTTCAAAGGTTAAACCTTTTCTTATACTTTTTTGGGGTTTTTTTGTTTGTTTGTTTTGTTTTTTGTTTGTTTTTTACTATTCAGGTACAAATCTGTAGGAAACTATTTCTACATTTTCTTAAGTGTGAATCTAAAAACTCGGACATGCTGCTATTTAAGTTCAGGAAGTAAGGTTGATATTACACCATTATGCTGAATAATGAACAGACACACCGTGTTTCTGGACAAAAAATCTTCATTGTAGAAGGTGGAGTCTCCCAAAGTTAAATCTACACATTTCATATTATGCTAATCAAAATTTTCTTTTCTTTTCTTTTCTTTTTTTTTTTTTTTTTTTGGTGTCTGGCTGGTATGACCTTGGTGTAGTACTAATCAAATTCTAACACAGGTTAGATGGTTGGCTGTGGGAGCAGAATCTGAGAACTGGCAAAAGCCCAGACAGCTCTTGTTGAACATAAACTAAACAAGATTCTAAAGTTTGTCTGGACAATAA